GCAAAGCCGGAGAGATTTGGGAGAAACATTGTTCCGTGGGGTTAAAAATGGTCTTGTGTTGTGCCAGAGGCTGGGGGAATGTTTCTAAAAAAAATGTGATTTAAGTGGATGTTCATCATCACCGTGTTTAATATCAAACACAGCAAAGTAATAAACTAATCAAATATTAATAAAAGGCATTTGATTGTGCAGATTAGCTCTGCAGAGACCGTGGAAATGAACAGAAAGATCTGAATTTTACTTTCTCCCAATGCTAAATTCTGCTGTCCTGCAAGAGAAATGAGGTGGAGGCGGCTGTGTTTTGGTCGGACGGCAGGCCGGAGGGGTCAAAGACATATGACTCAACCAGGAAGTATCAGGTTACAGTAGACAGGAAGTCAGTGGACCAAACAGGAAGGACTCTTTCAGACAAGAGGCTACTGAAAGCCAGCAGCGTTCAAAGCCATCAGTGTCTGTCAGCAAGAGGCCAAAAAAATATAGTGTATATTTGTGTGTATGTGTGCGCGTGTATGCAAGCACTTTTGACAATCTATAGCCCAACATAGTTATATTCATTTTTCCTGGAATCTTTGATAAAACCAAGATTTCCTCTTCTAAATATGTTATTTTTCTTTAATTTAAGGATTAAATAAATTGGGCTCATTTCTTACCTGATGGTAATCTAGCTGTCAAGCTCCAGTTAGGATTTGTTTTTTTACAAAGCTGAAATAGACTAAGGTTCTTATTGATGCCTATATATGATATAAAAGCAAACCAGACAGCTGGTGTCATGATTGAGGATTTCTTTGTTGTAATTATTAATGTATGAAACTGCTGTTAGGAGGTAGGCGTCATTAGACACCACTTCAAAATGTTGATGACAAAATAGGGAAGGTCTATTTTGTCCACAGGGGGCGCCAAAGCTGACACAAACTGAAAGTTCCTTACAGGATCTTTAAATAATAAAACTGCATATATAATATCAAACACCAAAATCTAGTTAAAAAAAATCATTAATAACTGTTAAAAGAAAATTTTGTTTAAAAAAGTTTACCTTCAGAAGTATATTTAGAAAAGCAGAGGCCCTGCTGACCAAATTCTATGTAAAACTTTTCTCTCAAAGTTAAGATCTAAAACTCTCTGCCATCTGAATTAAGTTACCATATGCATCATATTTTAGCCTAAATGTTCTCAGATACACAGCTGTAATGTTAAGTGATACCTCTGTGGCGTTAGCTCAAGCAGATGTATTACGGAGGTCAAATCACTGAGTTAATGCTGAACATCTGCCTCTAAAAACAGATCATCAGCAGCTCAAAGTTATTCAGTCCATACTTACGCTCTGCAGTCAATGAGATTATAAAATGATCTCCCCACACATACTTTCACGATTCATTTCTGATCAAATCTTTTTTTAGTCAAGAACAGCGTTCAATTTAATTGATGAATTTGTGGTGTTGTAAAATAAACAAAGACAAACAACAATATGGCTGGTAGCGTGAGTGACAAGTTTATTCTGAAAATAACCCAAAGTCTTGTTAGTACTGGTTTGATTTTGCTCGAACAAACCACAGTATTTAGTCATGACTTTGTCAGTATTTAAAATCATTTTATTTATTTACAGTATATGTTGGTAATTTTTTTTCATTTCATTTTCTTTGCTCATGTAAGGCACTTGGTGCAACATTTTGATTGTATGAAAAGTGCTATACAAATTAATCTGATTGATTGATTGGTTAATTTGTATGAGAAAAAGAATATTGTGTACAATTTTTTTTTTTCAATAGAGATTGTATTTTCAGCCCATATGACCCAGCCTTAGCTAATCTGAATGCATTGAATCAACAGCGCTGTAAGTTGTTAGGAACACTTTCAAAATAAAATTGTGTCATCAGTTTCTTTTTAGTTAAATCATTATAATTAATTTACATCAAGATGTAATCACATGCATAAATTAGGCACATTTGGATATTTAACATAAATATGAACTAAATATGTTCTAAATATGAAATGACCATATGTAGCTTCTACTTTGATGTGTTTCTCAGAAACATCCTCACACTCTCTTATGAAGCTCTTGGAGGAAGCTTTTTAAAGAACCATGTCAGCATATTTTCTGACAAGGCATTTTGTGGACAGTCAATTTTGGCTTGCCATGTTTGGATACTGAGTGACAACATACAACATACTTTGCTCCTTGACATCTTTTATCATCATAATCCTAAAGATGAGCATTAAAAGTCTTCATTGGATGATGAATAACATGGCCTACTTGGCCTACAAACCTTTTTTTTTCTGGACCTTCACTGTGTCTCTCCATCTTTCATCCTTCTGGCACTGTAGTTATGAGTGACTGTGAGTGAGGAATACAGATTCTATCCAGGGTAGTGGTCCCGCCCACTGTTGTTAATGACTTGGCATTCAAAAGTCCAGAATTGAATTACTGAATACTACATTTGAGTATTTAATGTACTTGAATGTACTTTAGATAGAAAATGTTTAATATTTGGGTTATATTAAACTGTAAAATAGTATTAAAAAACACACACAGGTAGAAGGGTGTTGTGGGTTTTCATTTGCAGGAGCTTTCACAAACCTGAATTTTGACATGCTGGTGTTGCAACTACAGCAAGAGAGTGATCATTTGTCTGTATGGAGGCTCGAAAGAAGTCAGCTTTTGATCTGAGGAACTGCTGAGGGTGATTTGTGCGTATGCCATCATCTTAGTCTGTGTGAGAGTGAGTGTGTGTGTCGAACAATATGTGCATGGGACAATGTGGTCAGGCAGAAGTGCATTGTGGGATCGATGTCCACACCTCATCCTAAATTATTCATCCTGTCAGCCAGCCTGTCCACCATGGCTGTGGAAACCGCTGACCAAGAGCTTTACCTCCCTTCCCCACGGATTCACCTCTTCATCCTCTCCTCGGCCCTCACTTCCTCCTCTTCTCTCTCTCTCATTATCTCGTCCTGGACTTCACAGCGTCTCTCACCCTCACTCCTACTTTCCTCACTCCTCCACTCTTTTCCTCTGTCTTTCTTCTACTCCCATTATTCAGTATATCTGTCTTCCTCATTAGCCGTGAACTCCCACTGACTCACTTTCTATTCCTTTCTCTCTGTGCTGACATTCTCTCCTTTGCCGCCCCTGTGTTGCTGACTAAGATTATAATGTGTCGGCTTTTGTCGGCTGTTTATGTTTGTGTCTTTGAAGCCTGCCCCAGTGGCCTCTGGGAAGACAGCCATAATCCTAGTGAGTGGTCAGAGATTGTTCGGTGTGTTTCAGTGTATGTGTGTTCATCCTCATACATGTGTGCATGTGTGTGTGAGTCAGTAATTGTGACATGGCTCATACATCATAGCCAGAGCCCGTTTGATTACAAGCGGAGGGGCCCGGTGATTAATCGTTGGATTCAGCTTCCTGGCCCGAGCTGTGACACCCGGTCACAGAGCATCTGTACTGACACACCCCCTCCCCTCGCCCCACTGCCCTGCACCCACATACCCCTATACCGCCTACACCTACACGCCCACCTCAAGACCCCCTGCCTTTGTCTTACCTCCTCCCCTGCGCTCCATTACCTGCTGCCCTTCCCTTCTCTTGCCTCCAGCCGCAGACATCTTACCATCCCCTCACCTGTTTCATCTTAGCCTAAGCCTCCCACCTTACCTCCTGCACCACTGTACATCCCCCATCCACCCTGCTCCTCTCCCCTAACCTTTCCCCCTCTGTGCAACTCACAGCCCATATTAACCAAAGCCTTACTGTTTGATCTTATCACCTTTAGCCTCACCATTTCCCCTTTCTACAAGTTATGACCCTCCTGATCCCTCTCTTTTATTATATACAACAACCACACAAATCCTTTACTCTTATCTGATTCTGCCCCCTCGAAATGTATCCCTCATGCAGTAACACACACTATATTTAACAATACCAGTACACACACACACACACACACACACACGCATATACTCTTTGTTGCCTGTGTACTTCAGCTGCAGCTTCTAAAAAGATCTTTAGCTCACTTCACCTGCCAGTCGAGGTCACGTGATTCAGGTCCCTGAGGCCCAAAGGAGCTTTTTACTGTAGAGCCAAGCAACCTTGAGTTCATGCAAGGGTCCCTTTGAGTCTCATATATATAGAACCCTCAGCTAAAACACTTTGAATCAAACACCCTCTTTTTATTTCTATGTTTTTGAGCTCTGCAAAGGTCAAAAGGTTATTTTCAAAAATGGTTCCAAGATCAGTGGAGATAATGTGTAAACAGGAGGTGCCAAAATCAGCTTAAACCAAAAACTCCATATGGGTCCTTTAAATACTTCCACAAAGAGCCTGTTACTCAAATATGAGTGATTGTTTCTGGCAAGGGGGTATTTTCAGCCTCAGATTAATACTTCTTTGGAGTGCTCAGTTCTTATTTATGAAACTGCTCAAAATAAACCACAATGCTGATATTCATTATAATCAGGCACAATGTAAGTGACTGTGTCACCTTAATAAGAGAGTCCTGACAGAGGGAGTAAGCAAAAGAGACTGTTAGAAAGAAGCACTTACTGCTGGTTTTGCTTTTTCATTGAATTTGGACAAAAGGAAAAATATATAAGATATTATAAAAATCATTTCAACACGAGACAGATTTAAGACATTCACAAAGAGAAAGGAAGGAAGAGAGAAGAGAGGGAGGAAAGAGTGTGAGGGGAAAATGGAAAACAAAGGAAGAGAATCTCCGAGGTGTGTGTGTGTGTGTGTGTGTGTGTGTGTGTGTGTGTGTGTGTGTGTGTTCCCCTGGCTCTCACCTCCATGTGGTATCAGGATGAGGGATGGTCCTGCCAGTGATCAGCCCAGACCTGGACTCAAGCTCTGCACAAGGATTCCCTGCTGAAACCATTAGTCTGGGCATTAAACACCATTAGAGTGCTCACACACACCTACACACACACCGAGTGTAAGTGCCTTGCCTCAGCTTTACGCTCACAAATATATATCCATGGTAGAAGTGCGTGGCTTGATGCCCTCACGCACATCCATGCGTTTCTGAGGCGCACACACCTTCATGCACACACCCTCACACACACACACACCATTAGATGAGAGAGTGTTAGAGAGTGACTGCAGGAAGGATTGGTTGGAGCTGAAGGTAACAGAGTGAGAGGAGAGGAAGGACGATGAAGAAAAGAGGGACAGAAGTTATACAAGGTAAGGTGGAAGAGCGGTAAAAAATCCACTTTTCCTTGAATGTCTCATTTCTCCTGCCGTCATCGACTCTATTTGCCTTTCTTATGCATAATTAATTAACAGCAAGTAAGATATTAATTTCCTGGAGGTTTTTTCTTTCGGGTGTAGGCTTACCTCATCATTCCCCCACACTGCACCGGCTTCTTGTTTTTATCCACATACATGTGTCCATAAGTTGTTAAAATATACATACTGTATGTACTGTTGTGTGTGTGTGTGTGTGTGTGTGTGTGTGTGTGTGTGTGTGTCTGTTCATGCTGCAGGTTGAAGTGAGTGTATCCCCAGCGATCCAGGTGTAATTGGGTTAGTGACAACCAGGACAATGTGACACCTGCAGGTCTCAGCTGTGCTGCTCCCTGCTGAACTGGCCTGGAGTCAGCTGGAGCTCTGTCATCTGGACCGGCCTCAGCTGAAACAACCATTCTGGGACAGATCCAGGGTTAGAGGCTTCACTGGGCACAACACAAATATCAGTCTTTATACTAACCTCATGTCTTTTAGCTGGACAGAGGGCAATAAAGAACCGGAGGACAGATTTATGTGACATCCAGATTTAAAGTGTGGCCGTTAAGAGACTATTAGGGTTAAAAAAAAAAAAAAAGTTCTGGGTTCAGTATTTGAGTTCTACTTATCTAACACACTTAGCAACGACATTTCTGCCATTATTTATTACTGATTGTTGGATTATAGACTGGGTGTGGTTTCTGTTACTGGTTTCTGTAGGAATGAAAGCCCAACAATCATTCTGACTCATGCTGACTTCAACTAAGTTTCAATTACCCTAAAACTGGCAAAGATGTGTTGAGGTGGGCTTTTGGCTTCATAGCAAACAGTTACAACATACCAACCTTTCTCTCAACTCAGCTGTGCCTATAAATGTGCATATAAATCCAACTCTTCATATCATCCTAATAGAAGCATTATAGAAAACTTCTACCCCTATGGTGTGTATGAATAAGTAAATACTGTTAGCATGTATAATTTTGCTGTAAAAATGGCCATCTAATGCTGCGTTAAAGTCAGCTGTCGGAGCTGGGAATGACATTACACCCGAGTTGACGGCATCCCAGTAAACAAGTCCGAAGAACCAAGATGGACGCTTACTGTTAGTCGTTGTTAACTGTTATTAACACTTGCCAGTTGTCGTTAGCCGTTGTCAGCTGTTGTTAGTTGTTAGCTATATCAGTTGTAAACAACACATAACACAGTATTTTACTCTTACAAACGCACAGTTAGACTTTGGGCAGTACAACATATACCACTTATTTAATTTCACAAAAACACAACAGAAGTGTGAATAAATAATATATTACAAGAGCTTTCACTGTTACTGTTCACTATTGATGCACTGAGCTGCCATCTTGAATGATGATGTTGTCGTCAAGTTGGGGTTGGTGATGATTGTCCAATTTTACGAGTCAGAAATCCAACTTCAGGGGGGCCTTCCAGATGAATTTCCGACTCCAAGCTCAGAAAACCCGACTTCCGAGTACAACTGGAACGCAGCATTAATACGGGACCCAATAGGAATTTCTAGCCTTCAATGGCCAGCCTTAAGATGACACTCAAAGAATTGCAGTTTTTTGTTGCACTCAAGTATTTGCCTCATCTTTAAATTGAAAGATGGTTTTGTTTGCTTTTCACTATCCTACACAGACATCAATAAAGATTTCAAACTTTTTCATAAACATCAAAAACTCCTAAAAGGAGCTTAACTATGAAAAAAAAAAAAGAGTTTTCTCTTTTTACTGGTCAACAGTTGTATTACAGGTAAACCATGCACACAGAATTCTCTCAAAGTTTCCTTCAAATTTATTTTAATACAATAAAATCCTTACAAACAAAGAACTGCTATTTATGTCCCTCTGGAAAGAAAGAAAAAAACTGTTTGGGGGTGACACTGGCCAAACATTTCACACACAGGCCCATATATGACGGTTATGCCTGAAAATTTTCCAATATTTTCATGTGCTCCACCCCAGAAATTTTCCAAAATTACTTGTTGACACATGTCCCTTACAACATAAAATGTTCCCTGTATAGAAGGGCTGGAAATGACTCTCCCTTGATAGATAGCCTGAATCTAAATTACTCTTAAGCTGTTTCTCTGTTGAAATGAAAAACATGCATAAAAGAAAATAACAGAAAATAAAATCTTCAATACAATAGTAAATGTCAAGGACATTGCTAGGAAAAAAACAAAGGAGCAAGGATAGGAAATGGAAAGCTTTAGATTGATCTCATAGAGCTTGTTGCGGTCTAAGTGTAACTGACAAAAATCCCACATAGACGCAGCAAATAAACTCTGCTGGTGTGTGACAGCCTCCTGCATGTCCTCTTCCTCTCATCAGGCAGAACTTGTGATCACAGACTGATATCATCACACAAACGTCTCCCTGTCACATCACATTTTTGCTGCTTCTGTCTGACTTCTGTCTCTCCAGGCCCGAGTGGCGGCAGACCATGCTAACCAGCGCGACGCCATCGGAAGCTAATAAATCATCTGTGGTTTTATTTCAGATTTATTCGGACCGTAATGAAGACGCGATGGGCCCCGGGCTGTAACCGACGGCGACAGGGTGACACTGATGAATGGCTGAAGGTGCGTTCTCTACAGTCGGAAGGAGAGGGAGGACTGTCAGGCTGTGTGGGTGTGCTGTGAGTGTGTGTATGTGTGTGTGTGACAGTGGGTAGGATCAGTAGCACCCCAGAGATCGGTTATATTACACATTAAGCGTGTGATATAACTGCGTCTCATCAAAAATATAATAACTCTTTACAAAGACCATGGACTGCTGTACAGTAATGCCACATGTAGTACAGGAAGTCCAAGTGTTGCTGAAAACGGGAGGACCTGAGCTCCATTTTTTCTGTCTTTTATACAGTTAAGACTTGGGCTTCTATTCACACACAGTTAAGCACGCCTGTCTCCTCCTGCTCCTCTCCCTGCTCTCCTCTCTCCATCTATGACTGCACGATACATGTTAAAGTTTCAGTGGTTCTCCTTTAACTTTGAGCTGTTCATGCTGGATTTTAAGTGAGAGCTGTTGGTTCGAGGGGCAGATTATGTGTTCTGCTGTGAAGGAAGAAAGGGATGGAACGTTAAATTGATTGAATATGATGATAGAGAGCAACACGCCAGTTGGCACAGTAATCGTTCAGTCCTGATAAGCAAATTTTTGTGAATGTGGGGAGTTAGGCTTGTAATGGAAATTGAAATTCAATCAGTTCCCCAGTCCTGATAGGAAAGGTATACTTTTGTTTTAGGTATGGATGCTCATTTTGATCACATATAATCATGTACACTTAACTTAGGGTGTATTGCAACATAGTGCTAACTGTTAAGTTCACTCTTATTTTCAAGTTATCTTATTACATATGTATTTATTTCCAAAATAGATTCTGTCATTTCCCAAAAGTTTGCACAACCACATTGTTGACAAAACTAAATGTTGCTGTTTTTGCGTCAAAAGTTAACCACACCTTTATCTGTTGTGGACTAGCTTCCAACACCTTGTGTTATTGAATAAACTAACTTGAATCTTGTGAGTTTTTTTTGGTGATTCCTGTGGCGATTTTGTTGCCGTAAACGATTGTCATTTTTCCTATCTTCATCTGGAATTGAACAAAGCATTCCAGGAATTAAGGTAATGAATCTATCTGCGTCTGTATGGGATTAAAAAATATAATATGTTGATAGTCAAATTAACTTACAGTGTATACTTTATGAATCTAGTCAATCATAGAACTATCTCATTAACATGCCTTGTGATAGGCATTTTTGATAACATTCGCTTCAGATCATTTCACATCCTTTGCATACACTCTCTTTGCTTTGTACCTTACAATTTCTGCTCCTTGTTTCTGCTGACCCTGCCTTGTATGTGAATAGTGCTCTTGGAGGAAAAATAATCCCTTGCCTTTCTCTAACTGGAAAACATACAACTCACTGCAAAACATAAACTCGCCGTGTGCATCATGTCCTGTCTCAGGTGTACTCTTGAGCTGATCTCAGAACACTCTAGTCAATGCTTGTTTCCACAGGAGGCACTGTGGCATGTCTCAGCTTTGTCCCAGCAGTATCTCCTGCTCTGCTAATGATACACACCATAGCTGTTATCCTCTGTATACATTGTTGTTATCACATGATCTCAAGACACCTGCAAGTTCTCGAGGAGTCCTTATGCAACCATATGATCTCACACCTGAACTTGCTCAAAGCTGCACTATGCTGTGTTACAGAATGAGGCGTGCAGGACAGGGTGTGAAGGACTGAGTGAAACTAAGCATTGGTTTGTCTCTTTTATTCATCAGGTGCATCAGTTAATACTATTTCTTGATTAAAATTTTAAAATTTCTAAAAAACGTACACAAATCTTTATAGCAGAGCCAAGAAAGGGAACTTTCTAGATGCAAGTTTAGATTTGATTCCACAGAATTTTTTAATTATGACACAATGTTTATGAAATGAGAAAGTCTTGAGTAATCTTCATATCTATCTTTATTTCTGTCCTAATTATTAGACGCTGTATGCTAGTTACTCTGTTACATTTGCTGCGTTTTGATTGTGCGCTCTTTGTGCGTGTGTCATCACAGTCCTCTCTGTCAGCCAAGGACAAATTGACTGAGCCGACTCAATGCTTCAAGCCTGGCAGCTTCCACTCATCTTGTCAATCAATGAATCCATATGCAGCTCGTCTCACCTGACACAGTACAGCACAGCACTTTTTAAAGAGCATTCAACAACATGAGTGTACATTAAACACAACACTGTGCCAACAGTAAGACAGAAAGTTTAGCTAAGTCTACTGTATGTCATGGACATGGCCTTGTTTATATAGCTTTCTCCCTCATAGAGGATGGCAGCTCTAATCAGCTTAAATCACAGCGTTTGCAGCTCATTACAGAAAAAAGGATCATCAACATTCAGCTAAGCAACCACATGAGACCAGTTATCTACTTAATAAGTCAACCCAGAGCACATTCAAATGAAAGGGCAATGTTAGCAAAAACATGACACTCCAGAGAAAACCAACACAGTTGCATATTATCCTGAATGCAGGAACATCACCCAAAAGCAGTTATATGTTCCCATAAAGGTTTATAAAATCACACTGCCTCCATTTACGTATTCATCCACAGTAGATCAGATTGTATTAACTCCAGCTTATTCTATTAAAATACCTTTTTCATCAATAGCGTGCATGGTGAATTTAGACCTCTTTTTCCTCTCGCAACCTTAACAATTCAAAACTTACTCATGTAGCAAATTAAATTTAAAAAACTAAAACTAAAACATAATTTATAGTTTCATATTTGGCCTGGCAGACACTGTAGGACTATATAAATGTCAAAATGGATTGTCAGCTCACACAACCAAAGCTCACATATTATACCCTCACACTCTGCAGTCTGATTATCAGGCACAACCAAAGTGTTTACAACCTTAGGGGGACGTCTAAATGACCTAAAACCAGTGGTTGACAGTGTAACATGCAAAGGGAATGAGGGCGTGCCCAACCACTTTTCTGCACAAATATGAGAGTGTGCATGATGGAGAGCTTGGTGACGTTCTCAGTCTGTGGTATCAGGCCCTTTGATGATTGAGGTGAGGCTGGTGCTTGAGGAGATGGTCGGTACATTTACATGACACTGGAGAAAACCAAATTATTGCCTTACTCTGATTAAAACTGGACAACTGAAGTGCATGTAAATACCTTAGTCCAACTAAAATCGGAGTTTGAGAACTCCGATGAAGACACCCAGATAATGCAATTGGAATTCGATTTTCTCTACCATGTAAGAGTATGATCAGACAATGCATGTGCGCGTGCGCCACACCCCCATAACCCTGAAACAAAAACACCAAGGAAGAGGAGTAGCATGCATCTGCAATCTGCAGAAAAAGTAGCGCGTATATCATGTATGTCAAAACAGCACTGTACGAAGCTCCATCTTCTTGCTCGAAAATGCCCAGCAGCAGTTGTAGCCACTTCTGATGTCTGGCACAAACCTGCTGTTGTTGTTGACGGTTGTATGGGGTTGGAAACAGCGCCGCTGAAAAGATCTATATCGCCCCCTAGTTTTGGGGAGGAGGACACGTTCACGTCAATAATTCAGTTTTCTCAGCTGCATGTGTATGCGGACAAGGAGGGAAGTCTGATTTGATGAAAAAAAGGAACTATGAGCTTAGTCTGATTGAGCTGTGCATGTAAACACACTGACTGACTGCGATTTCATTATTTTAGCACTCCAAGATTGGCACCATAGTGTACCATATTAAATGGTGCGCTATTGCGTTACAGGCTCCAGACTAATGACCTGGATTTTGTTGGTTTTGATGCTTTATGAGTCATTAAGATAGCAACACACCACCTTTGCACCTGGCCACACCTCTGGATTTTTTAGGGTAAGTGTATGTCAGATTTTATAAGTACAAAAAGTACAGGGCTTTAATTCTGGTATAATTCTCTGTGCTGGTGGTTGTTTGTACCATAAATTTAAAATACAAAAATTTAAGCCAATGTCAAAATTCTTGGTCTCTGGTCACTGTGATTGAGACTAAATGGTCCATAAGGGTTGATATCTTTATTAAAAGTATAAGTCACAGTGTAGATCCACTCTAGACAGGAACCACCTGTAAAATACTGAAAACAAAAGTTAACCTCCATGTTACATTGTCAGCTGCAGGTCTTATTTGCAGTACAGGCCTCTGGTACAAGCAGAACAGGCTTTGAAATTAATTAAAAAGTCCATTTCCATGCTGATGATGTTTGTTTTTGTGAGTCATGTAAAGGCATCAGTAATGAATTTAGACTCTTACTGTAATAGCTAGGACCATTCACAAAGTTACCTTAATTAGATTTCTCTCTCTGCTTTGTTTTTCTTTTTTCTTCTCGCATTGGTGTTTTGATTAAAATTGCAAAATGTGCATGACAGCATGGCAGAACTTTGAACAGAAAATACATCAGTCTACTTGGAAGGAGTCTCGGCTGTGAAAGAAAGAAGACGACTTTCTGTTCCCTCTCTTATTCTGTGATCTCTCTTTTTAAAGGTCAGTATATCACAATGTGAAGAGATTAGATCTGTCTCCATAGAGCAGCACATGTATCTTTGTTTGTCTTTGTTAGCTGAGATTTTGTTTAGTTGATCTTACCTGACAGGGACAGAATGAGAGAATATTCAGTCTGTGCATCTTACTTTTTTCTTTTTTAATTAGAATCACAATTTATAGACACTTATTTAATTTGGGGATGGTTAATTAAAATACTAGAGATTCATTCAATCAAACAATGTGGTGCCAGTCAATCTGATGTAATCTTATATGATGATAACTTAATCTCAGTTAATTTATTAATTTCATAAAACTGATTAAAGGCAGAAAACCAGCTTTTGCTTACAGACACCCTTAGCTCTATTAGTACAACAGACCATAAATGCAGTAAAGTCCTTTGACTGTTTTAGTCATGGCTTGACAAGTTCATATTCAGTACCGACCACTGATACCAGCCTCTTAAGGCTAAAACATACAGGATGTGTATTTGAAGTGTGGCAGCAGCGTCACGCAGCAAATAGGTTGCCATTCTGATCAATACAGCAAAGCATACAGAACGTGTATCAGCTCTGTCGCAGCATCGTATCGAGAGCGGCACTGCTAAAGATACGCGGCGAGTCTGTTTTTGTTGTTTTACGCTTCCAACGCACGTCAATCCACACAGAGAAGATAGTTCCAAACAGGAAGTCAAGCACGAAAACCGCACAAGTCATCTGATAAATCTTAAAATAAAACACCATATGCAGACTCCCGACTGTGTATCAGTTCATGTAGATGAGAAATACTTCCTGGTTATGAATTTATCTGTAGCACAGAACATTTCAATGAAACTTTAAAATCATGTTGTTTTTTCACATAAAGTAGAGGCTCAACAGTCACTGAATTATATACAAATCAGCAGGAAATGACCACAGAAAGGAAAAACAACCTGGTGTGATCATGTTGTTTCCTCTATACCGAGCCCAGCTGACCGGGGCTGCACTACGCTGCTGCTACGCTCCAAATATGTATCCTGTATGCGATACCCAATGCTGCTATACGGAGCAAATACGGATCCTGTATGTTTTTGGCTTTACAGCTACTACCTGGTATGTCAGGCAGATCAAATATGCAAGCATTATAATCAATGAGTGTGATTCCACACAATCCGTCTGCTGGCTGGATCAGATACGCAAGGCAGGACGCCACAGCGCATCGATTTAGTGCAGTGCAGCACGAGCAGCAGCAGAAGTTGTAAGTGGCTACAGAGAAAAATACCTGCTTTATTTTCAAAAATAAAATAAAGTCAATAAATTGAACTGTTCTTCACTTGATAATAGTAGAAGCCAGGGTTGTGGGATGTGGGTGTTTATATACACCGACATTTATATACACTGATCGGCAGATCTCATTCAATGTCTCACAGGGAAACATGCAAGATCTCGTCCAGTCTTGCAATAAATATCGGTCACCTTTCAAGTGCTTCTTCTCCGCTGGCAGAGGCGGAGCGGATCTGGTGGGCGCTGTATGCTTGCGTATTTGATCCGCCTGCCGGTCCGAGTAAAGCTACTGATACCAATATCATTTCCATCAAAGTAACAGCTTAACATTAGTCTTGTCAGAGTTCAAGGGCTGAGCACAGTATCAAGAGGTAACCAGTAAAACCTTAACTGAAAAACCAAGACATGAAGCACATTAACTTACAATTTAGCAGATCAGGACTCCGCAGACAGACAATGCAACTTTACTATTCAGTTGGTCACTGATTCGCAATGGTGAATCTTACCACACTACATCCAGCCGCAAGACTATCTCCAGTAAATTATTCATGGCAGAGATCTTAATCTGCAGCCTGTTGCACCAGCTAAGTATGCAGACCTAACTCATTTGGACATAAATTGCTTTTGGATTTATGCATTACGAAAGTTAGTATTCTCACAAAAATGCTGAATGACCATAAAACTCTTCCATATAACATCTCAGTATTTACATATAACTAGTCCTAGTGAGCACCTGCTGGGATTTCAATGTTCTTTTGTGTCTGATTACGGTGAAATTGGGTCAAATTTATATGATCACATCACAACTATTTTTAGATCAGCAGTTATATCTTCCTCTTGTCATGAAATCAACATTTGCTCTATAATTTTGATCATTTGTTATTTTTTCACACATTTGAAGGGTAACAATAGTGATGATTGTTGTGGCATTTCTCCAAAGTTTCACGATTTATGCAGTGGAGCTTGAAATCAGGTCCACAAAGACCAAAAACCATTGTTTTTATCCTAAAACTTTGATTGAACTACGGTCCCAGTTTAACACCAAATTTCTCACACTAGCCTGCAGCCACTGCATGTTTTAGTGTAAAAAATGACTGGACTGCATATGAAAGAGCGTTAGCAATGAGATGTAACCAAAATGTATAAGTGAATATGCAGCCAGGGTGTCCCACAAGAGCATCAGACTGAAGACTTAACATGCAACATTGAGTGACAGATGGGATGGAGAGGATTTTACCATGAGTGCTGTTGCCGGCTGCATAGATGTCTCCTCAACAACCGCTTTTCTGTAAAAGACATGCAACTATGGCAGGCCCTTAACAAAATAAAATAAGTTAAATGATAGGATTATATGTGTCAGTTTTGGTCGGGAAACTCTGTCTTTTATGACTCCTGTACCGAATAGAGGCATGCTGAGTTCACAGCTTGAAACAAATAAAAGCCCAGATTGTTAATTACAGTTTTATGGTATTTATATTTAAAAAACCATAAAAGCTCAGAATCAAAGTTTGGGTGATAGCAAACAGACGGTTTGAGACACAAAGACCAAACGTCTCTGGGAGCAGTTTCACAGCAGAAGAGAGATAAAACTAAAGGCTTCATTCTGTTTCTCATTTTTATCCCTACTTTTTGTTTTCATGAGCCCCTCTACACTCTGAAAGATTTAAAGCAGTGGCTAATGATAAAATCTTCGCCTATGGCAAGAATCGGACACATTATCAGGAGTTAAAGAAAATTTTATGTGAAGAGATGCGACATCGGCTTGTTAGGTAGTCAAACCAAGACGTCAACATATTAGTTTTAAGAAAAAATTGTTATGCTTGAAACAACATTTAACTAGGACAATAAAATGGTTGTCAATATTTTTAACTCTCATTAATAAAGCCAATCCATTTGTGCATTTTCTTTCATTGTGTGGGTGTGTGCTGCACATAACTGTGGTGTGTGCAGCTCTGACTGAGTGAAGGCAGGATGACACCCAGATTTCTACGGTATGGAGAAATTTAATTACAATCATAGTTTTTGTGTCTAATATTTTCAATTTTGTCAATGTTTCAGAAACAGTGGGTGAATATTTGTTAAAAACGTGCTTTCACATCACTTTATGTATCACTTTAGTGTGTGTGTGTGTGTGAGTTTGAGAGAGCGCTCACTCCATCAGTCTGTCTTTCTAATTACCGTTGTTTGTCCATGGTGAGACAACATGAAGGCTTTTGGCCTCTCTGGCTGACAATCGCCATGAAAGGACAGATAACACACTCCTCCTTTACACCAGACTGGCACCATCTCTCTCCTTCCATCTTCATCACTTCCTCTCTCACACTCTGTTACACTCCTTCACTCTGCCTCTCCACCGCCTTTCTATTCCTCTACAAAGCCGTCACTCACTCACTGCAGCGATCACTAACACAGTCTCTTACCCGGTTATCTCCCCTGTCTGTCCACATTCTCTCTCTTTGCCTCTCTCTTGTTTCTAATGCTTTGCCCTCCAGAGTCTAAATGGAAAGTTCTGATCTGTTGACTATATTTGCAGCGCAGTTTAACAAGCATTAGCATACCCTATGGGTCTTTAAATTTCAGTTCTCATATGAGCAACAAAACACTTTTACACACACATAACAGAAGCACACACACACACACAGGCGCCTATAGGTGCACAGAGCCAGTTAATTAGAGCTGGAGGCCCCTCTCTCCTAACGAACCTGAGGGTAATTAAAGAGCCCCTGGACACGGGTGTGTCTGCGAGCTGCTTCTAATTAAGCCCCAGCGAGCTGATTTAGCTAATTAGCTAAAGGCTCGATGTTCGACACCAAAGCATTCCAGCCCCTCAGAACACAGGAAGTTACAATGTTCCCACACCGTCCCTGGCAACACTTTCATTTCCTCAGGCATTAATCACCAGAGTTACAACTGTCGTCATAGTTACTGCAGGAGAGGAGTTGGGGGGGCAGCTGCAACCCTGAGGGTGAGAGGTGTGAACCAGTCATGTTAAGGCTACTGGATGGCGGACCAATCATGAGCCAGAAGGTAAATTTTCATATCCAAAAGCAACTATTTAGACCTGCATGATAAGAGAAAGGGTGTCACGTGGAATCACATTGCTCAATATCACAAAAGATTTCTGAAGTTCAACACACGTATCGGCTGAAAACCGCAGTTTCAATGGTTTGAATTGTGACTTGTACAACACTTGTATTCGCAATAAGTCAGAAATGTTTTTTTTGTCCATCTCTACATTGGCGATGGAACAGCTGATGCTATTTTGAGCTTTAAGTGACATCATTAAAGTGGTGTGCAGCATGGCCATTTAAGCAGGGCCTTAATCTAAATAGTAAAATATGCATTATTGTGATAGATTTAGACATGTGTTCATTGGAAAAGCTCAAATCAGATTAACAAGACAAGTGCAATTAAGAGTGCAACCTTACAGTGATAATTTATATACAAATACTCTAATATATATATATATATATATATATAAAGTTACCAGTGTACTCCCTGAACTATATTCTCAATAAAGAATAGCTGCTCTAAAAGGGACAGAAGTCAAACCTGCATATTAGAAATTATTTTATTTACTATCTCCAAAAGGCTCCTTGTCAAAAGTTTGCATGGGTGATTAAATAGCCACTGGAATATAACACAAAGATTTTGAAACCTCAAGTATCATCATGATCCTCTTAGGATAAGTGAATCAGAACAGCTCTGACAAAAGGTGCATAGAGTAAGAGAAGAGCACCGAAGTTATTTAAGTTCCTCAGTTTTCCACTCTATGCCAGAGGCTAATTCATTAGCTGGTTAATTAGCTATTTAGTAACAATGTTTCCCACAAAATGAGTTTCTATTTTTGGTGTTATCTGAATGAAGTTGTTCATTTATTTGACTAAAAAGCACAGAGAGCTTGTGAAAGGCTGTGCTGTAAAGTTTGCATTCTTTCTTAGTGGCCTCTGTGGAGTTTGATTATGTTTTAGAGTCAGACTCAAGTGGGCCTTTTACAGATCTGCAGTGTAGTTCTGCTTTAGGAAAGTTGTATATCATTGAAAGAGGTGTTGGAACGAATGGCCCTCACCTTATCTCACCAGCTATATTCATCTGAAAACATCTCCACAACCTGTTTCTGGTTGAGTCATTTTGCTTGGGGGAAAATTAGATCAGTCAGGACAAAAGGGGTAAATGGTGCACAATTTAGATGTTTCCAAAACAGAACTGAGGTTTATGTTTTGCATTTAACTGAACAAGCAAAAGTTGTGTGAATAATTTTAGAAAGTTAAATGTCAAACCCAGAAGTCACATCTCCTCACAACTGTTCGAGTACCAGTGTTGGACAATGCTGCTTACGAAAATAAAGCCTGACTTGTGCTTCGCCATATCATACACTGTAGGTCTGAGTCACCTGTCTTCTGTGCAGAAGCCTACATGCTTAGTCCAGTGCACACCTTGTCAAAAACGTAAAGCAGACCAGCCCTGAGACTGGTCTGCTGGGCAGTGGGATTTTCAGGTATCACCCCTTTTCTAAGTCTTCCTACTAGGCATCCATATAGTCCATGTGTCCCCAAACCCCTTTCCCCCCTTTCCTCTGTGCAAGAATTGCAGCCTGATCATCACAGTATAACATATATTAGCTCGATATGTGTATCTCAAATATGTAATGCTCAGATTTATTTGTCATGGTCTGGACACAAGGAGGGAATGTAGCGGGACCAGAAAGTAGGGATGTGCCAAGTGTGCTGACTAGCATTCAGATTGAGCATTGCAGAGTGGCACAGATATTTGGAGGTATGTAGGGTCATGGTGTAGGTCTGACACAGAAGCTTAAACCAGGCTTCACCTGCTTGGAGATTACTGCCACTTCATAGTAACTCATTGTATACCTGTGTTAATAAAGTAGCGCTGTGGAGTACTCAAGTAGTCATTGCTGTTTTAAAACAGTAGCACTTCCAGTATCTTCTCTCTCTTTTACAGACATCATTTTAGCTCGGAGATGTTTGTTCAAATATGAAATTGAGTTTATAGCAGCGGACAAGCTTTTGTCACTGACAAACATTTGTTTTCAAATGACATTAACATTGATACGCAGCTACAGTTCAGTTTTTCCAGTTAAGGATTACTTAAACTGCAGAAGAAACACATTAAATGAGAAATTAAAGAACCCAACAAATTACTTTGTAACATGTTTCCCTAAACCAGGGGTGGGCAATCATGCGCCATGGAGGGCTGAGAGGCTACAGGTTTTCTTTCCAACCCAAAACTCCACCAAGTGATTTCACTGATTAGTCTCTGCTCTCTGCTTGAAGGTAAGGTAATCAGTGAAATCACCTGGTGGAGTTTTGGGTTGGAAAGAAAATCTGCAGCCTCTCAGCCCTCCATGGCACATGATTGCCCACCCCTGCCCTAAACAGTGACAAAGAGCATGATCGTCAGATTTTTTTTTTTTTTCTGAAAGTTTCAAAAATATTGATGTACAAGGCCCGATGAACTGAGGGACTATCTATCAGGTATTAAATCTGATTCAAATCTAAAAAACAACGTTTAAAATATACTTTAACATTCCATGCATAGTCATAGGATTACTTAGTCACTGTAAATATATGTTGTTTGTGCTTGTTTTGAAATTGTGAAAGTTGTTTAACTCTAGAAATAAGATGTTAAAATCAGTCTGTCATCAGCATAATTTTGAACAATTGCAGAAAAACAGCAGTGCTGCTCTCATATCACAGGAATTATGGTATTATGAATTCACATGTTTTACAAGTCCTCCTGGGAATCAAGAAAGTTTAAGGAGCAAATACATTCCAGAGAAGATGTTCAGATAATTTCATCTGCTTTCCCCCTTTATCACTTCTTTCCTCCTTCTTTCTAACTCAGCATCCAACTTCATAGCCGGAGCGCATCTGATCCCCCTTCATTTCCGCAGTGGGAGAGAGCGAGCTGGCGTTGGCCGCTGAGGCCCTGATCAATCATGATCTAGCACGACAGATTGTATTAGAGACAGAGAGATGGAGGGATGGAGAGATACAGAGGAAGAGAGTGGGGAATATATAAGATATTCAGACATCGGTATTCTTCTTTGGGAGCTGTGTGTGATTTGTCGACATGACCAGATGTGATCAGGAGATGGTCAAAGGAAAAAGAGAGAGAGGAGGGGGATGAGAGATGGGGGAAAAACATCCCCAGCCCTGTTCGTTATTAAGAGATTAAATCCCATCTCTGACAGACTTGTCACTGCTGGAGACAGAATTGAGCACGGCCGGTAATTTGACTAGTTCCCTATCTCCTCGCCGCTCAGTTGGCCGATGACAGCAAGGCGACAGAGCGTTGAATATGCAAGATGTCTCTCCTTCTATCCCTCTAAACTCTGCCGTCTAACTCGCTTGTGAGTTCTGTCAGAGCCACCTAAGAGACACATGCACTCACAAAAAGTGTACGTAGACACACACACTCAACTGCATAAAATTGAAGATTTTCAACCATTTGCATCCTCACGAAGACATTTGACTTCCCAGGATATTGACAAATGGCGGCTTGCAGGTTCAGGTCCCTCATTTTTAAAACCTTGCAATAGCTTCCATTTCGTGAACGTGTGACAGTTTCTGTTAGCCTGTTGTGCAGATCCTCCCCGCACACCCACAGTGACTCCACTCAGGCCAGGTGTTATTTTAACATTCATTTTCAGAAGATGAACGAGGGTCGTTTTTCCTCCTCCTCCTGCTATCTCACACATTCTCATCACTCGTTCTCCTCTCTCTCTCTCTCTCTCTCTCTCTCTCCAATCCCATCCCTCCTGTTGGAAAAGCCTGACCCAGTATTACTGTGACATTATGGGGCCACTTACCGCCCTGCTAAAATAAACCCCAGTGAAGGAGCCGCATGACAGAACGGGGTTACAACATGCCGTCGAGCAAATTAATCAAACAAATAAACGAGGAATTTAGACTTAAACAGGAAGGATCTCTCCCCTCCCCTCCCGTCCCCTCTTGTCTCTCTCGTCTTTCTTCTCATGTTTGTTCTCATCCAGAGACACTTGCTGATTAAAACACAGCCATACATGTGCACACACACACACACACACACACACACACACATGCAGATAAAGCTACCCACCAGAACATCTTCGGTCAGATTCACCCATGTCTTTGTTGTACAGCAGCTTGAACTGCTGCTAAGCTTTTCTGCTGGCACCAAAAAGCAGCTAGAAATACACCACATTTCTCGATTTAAAGAATGTCATCCAGATTTTTGTCGAGCAGTCTCTTCCCATTGGTCTTGTCAAACTTCCCACATTTCATTGCCTTTCAGTCAACAGATTGTAGTCCTCTAACTCTGTCATGCTAACAGATATGACAGCTGTAGCATAACTAATGAACACGGAGCTCATGTTGCGTTCTGTTGCATGATTTTGTATCGATGCAACGCTTGCTAAGGATCATTAGTTTTCTTTTTTTTTTTACTTTGGTGTGCAGTAGACTCAAGCACACATGGTCAAAGAATCAAATGCTAACCACAAATCACTCAAAGCTTTCAACATAGATTTTAGTCTGGCAATTCAGGCAACCTCGTAGACAAGCAGTACCCCATCTCTTTGGAGCTGATCCTGTTTTTAACAGCCAAAAGTATTGCTACCATTACTACCTGATTCTTACCCACAGTAAATGTAAAAACTTTACTGTGCAATCATTCTGTCTGACACCTAACCCCCTGACAGCAGTTCCAGACACTGAAAACACACAGAAAAAGTCTGTCTATATTTGATGATGATGACCTGATTTGCTTTTGTGGCCCAAAAAACATCTGTCCTTTTCACGACCATTTATAAAAAAAAAACCTCACATGACCTTTAAAGCAAGTTCAATAAATAACAAAATACTGTATTTTTCGGATGATACAGCACACTTAAAATCCTTATATTTTCTCAAAAATTGACAGTGCGCCTCATAATCCAGCGCACCTTATGTATGATTACTTGTTGTGCTCACTGACCGATTTTTTGTAGTACAATGCACTCAAAAATCAGTCGAAATGTGTAAGTATGATTTTGGTAAGCAACAAAGCCACGCTGCTCAATGAATATTCGGAGCATTACAATACGCTACCTGATCGACCCCTGAGCTGTCTGCAAGACTGCCTGACTGTAATGTCTAAACTACAAGTGATTTCATGTAAGGCAGCCCAGGCCCGGAGTACGCACTAGCAACAATAAACCAATCAATGCGCCAATGCTGAATGCGCCTTACATCCGGCGCGCTTTATCTGTGAACATAGACACGTTAGTTCACACGGCGCCATATAATCTGGTGTGCTTTATCAGTTAGTTCCCTCTGATTTCTTTCAGACATTTAAACACTAGCTAACCAAACTTCCTCATGAGTTTTTATTTCTCTCACCCCCAAATGAGATATTTCCCAAAATTATCTATGTAAATTTACTTTAAGAAAGATGGGGTTGTTTGAATGCGACAAAAAAAAAATCACAAAAAAATTACCAAATATCTTCTCACCTCAATGTTTTGTGTCACGCTGCAGCCAACTTCTTCAAGACTTCTTTTACATTTATTTATACTACTATTTATTCTAATACATACTTTTCTTATCTTTATTATTAAAGATTACCTTTATTGTATTATATTATATTTTGCAAATAGGACTCGGTAGAAACATGATCAGCTCTTTCAATCACTTCATAGCTTAACTCACTAATGCACAGAGAATACATGAACAAGTGAATTTTTCTTCAAACCCAAGTTAGTTCATGCAAACATCCAACAACTGTATCACCTTGCTCTTCGTGTTGCACGCTGGTTGCCATAGCAATCACTCCAGTCCCGTTCAGCATGCAGGAAACATGTTGATTAATCTTGACGATGACAGTGCGACTCTTGATGTGGACGGCTCCACATTGATCTGTAATGAAGTCATTGAGCCGCATGACGAATGGAGGGGAAGGAAATGTGTGAGCGCATGATTAATGAAATAATTAATTAACTAATTGGATTGACTTCATTAAATATTTTTCAATCCTTGAAGTCAGAGAAAAGTTTGATTACATCTTTAAATGTCTGCGATGCAATGAGGTGAGTTCATATAAACGGATCAAAAGTTATCAAATGAGCGGGAATCTTTTTTAGGTTTTTTTTTGCCAAAGAAGCGCCACATTTTTTATGTCTTCTCATCGCATTACAGGAAGGTTTTTCCAAAGTTTGTGTCATGATTTGTTTTTAGGTGATCAGATTAATGAACCTCTTGGGTCAGTCTGTCTTATGACTGCTCCAAGTCATGCCAAACACAATTGCTTTATGTTGTTAATAATATAGATGATTAACTATCTGAATGAAGAGTGAATTCTGTGATCCTCTTCCCATTTGTGGGTCTGAGCATGTCTGGAAATAGATTCTGTGAATCCACATGGATTTTTTCCATCTGCTGCCTGCTGTTGCCGGGTGTGTGGGATGTTTCCTGGACCTGCTGTCAGGACTGTGAGCTTTTCCAGAGAAAACATGCAGTAACCTTGGATCTCCTCTTTGAAAAGCTCCATGAGTTTTTGCATACATCATACCTGGCATCAGGGATTTAACTTTATACCAACTCAAATGAAAATCCCCTTCAGATCCCCAAAACTGACATCATAAAGAGGCTGAGATTGTGGTTAGTCAGGAAAGCTCAGCAGCAACCTGAAATGTACTGCGATGGCACGCCACAGCTGCTCACAAATGATGCAAATAACTACTAATGTCATGACTGCAAAACTTAACCCCTGATCTCCTCTGTCACATCTTTTCATCTATCTCAGGGTATAATATAATATAAAGTCAAAAATCCCAATTTTTTCTCTTCTTTCCTGAAATTGATATACTGAGCATACACAGCCCAAAAGTAAGACGTTTGAGGCAGAGCTGCCCATGTATGTCACACTATTCTACTCCAGGCAAAAATGAAAATATGTACTTATCTAAATGCTGTTCCTGCACATAGTCTGGATCTGTGACATGACATCAGTGTTGCTTTTATACCAACAGTATAAAAAGATATAGTAGAGCCTTGGTTATTCCATATTGTTAACGATATGGTCCATCTGGTCTTCAAACCAGGAGGCTAGACCATTTTTAAACATGGTCTGTGGTTTTACCTGCAGCCATAGCAAAAGCTTGTAGTAACGTCTGCTGGTTCTAGTCAACTTTTGTATACACTCTGGATCCTACTATCACCTGAGTATAAAGAGTACAAAACAAGTTTTGGTAACACTTTATTTCACGACTATCTCTATAACGCATTATAAATATATGTATAATACGTTACAATCACATTATAGCACTGTATAGCTACAGTTATAAACACTCATAAATGATCATAATGCTTTATAGTAATAACTATATAGCATTAGTGCATTAGTCGACTATACTAGCATTTTATCATGACTTACAAGGTCAGGTATTATAATGTGTTATTACTGTTAACAACAGTTGTATTGCATTATCTATTTGGGCATTGTCAGTGAGTTGTTAACAGTTTTAACACATTATAATATCTGACCCTGTAAGTCATGATAAAATGCTTTGTAATGTGTTCTAATTATTGCTTTGAAGCATTATGATCCTTTATGAGTGTTTATAACTACAGTTTTACAGTGCTATAACCTGATTATAACGCATTATACATATATTTATAATGTGTTATAGACATAGGTGTCAAAAAAAGTGTTACCCAAGTTTTAACAGGACCTCAACATGATCTCCTCCACATACAAATCAAAGGTTCACACCTTAATGATGATCATGGCCTTATGAGAGAGGAAGTGTTCAAAGTGGAGTCAACTGCGTTACATATCCCAGCATGCTTCGTGAAGTGACACATTTGCTATATGGTGCAGTGGCGTGCAGAGATTGATGGTAGGTTATGCTGGCACGCTATTACGTGATCAGTACAGTTGCATGTATATTTAAGCCAAGCCACTGCAATTCCAGTTGAAAAGCACTGGGCAAGAATCAAATCAGCTGCAGTGGCGACATGCCCCCTTACAGCTCATTACTACTGGTTGCTAACTGGTTTACAAAGCAATCGACTGAAGTATTAGCAAGTAGCAAACCAAATGTATGTTGAAGGATGAAAACACTGTCTCATTTACAGCACATACATGTCCCTCTGCCTGCAGTGTCAGTTACACAGAATCTTAGTTACTAATGCTGCATACAACCAAGCTGGATATCATTCCTCCTCAAGTGTCCTGCTGATTCTTTCTGGTTTCTCCCCTGCCTTGATTTTATATTCCCATAATGACCACTTCAACAAAAGATTATTACATGTTATTGTAATTAACTGTTCAAACTTATGATCTAATGGATAAAATGGATCATCTGGTGTTTGTGGGTAACGAGAACAGCGTGCATATGTGAGCCTGTGTGTGTGTTTCATTATAATGTGCTTGTGTGATTATGTGTTTATATGCAGCATGTGCAGGTCTCACTGCGTCCTATCGAAGATGATTGTGCATCCATCAGGATGCCGTTAAATAGTGGCCAGTGAGGATATGAAACGGCTCTCACTTTGGGGCTATCGTTGATCAATGCTCATAAACATTTCATGTCATAATCAGCCATCGCCGGCACAATAACACATCAGCACTAACAGTTCTGGGACAGCAGGACAGCAACACACGTGTGCACACAGGCACACATGCCGAGACTTTTAGTGTTAACATCTCTGCTAAACCGAATATGTATATTTTATGCATCACAGCTGTGGAGGTGGAAACACACACATTAGACATCTTCCCTCACACACCATTAAACAAACACACACCATCAAGCATTTAGGCAGTAAAATAGTGTGTGTGCTCAGCGTGTGTGTGATGTTGAGCTGTGGTCTGGGTGAGGGATGAAAGAGAGAGACACAGGGAGAGGCTGCCGGGGTGAGGAGGGGGAGTATTATCCGGGGAGGGCTTTACAAAGTAAGCCAATTTATACAAGGTATCCCGGCTCGAATTAGCGGCTAATGACTCTATTAGCTTTCATTTTTGCACCGAGGAGATTTGCCTGCATAAATTAGGGCCTGATCATTGGCAAAGTGTCACGGCCAAAGGACAGTTTATAAATACAACAGCCAGGCCCTGTCAGCCGCACTGGGCGCTGATATAGACGTCTCTGCAGACTTTGTCGTTGAGCGCAACAGACTTGTGCCAGTCAGACGGTGACAGGGGACCGTGGGGGTCCCGGGGGGAGCTCTCTCACCGCCGTCCCTGAAAAGGTCAACTTGACGCGGGCACAGCCCATCGACCTGCCCCCCTGTCGGCTCCGCTGATAAAAATCAGATAAACTTAAGACCACTCATCGATCTGGGCTGCAGAGCCTTAGGCAAATGTTGGCAGAACCCCCCTCCTCCTCCGCCTTCACCTCCTCTTCTTCCTTCACCTCCTCTTTTGTGCATAAGATTACACACAACAAATTAAAACAAGGGTGGGGGGCACAGAAAGAGAGGTGGAAGAGGGGAAAATAGAGAGAAAATGGGAAAGAGAGGGAGGGATTCTTGTTTCTTTGAGGAAAGGAAGGGAGGGGGGTTCTATTAAGAGGTGAGAGGATGAGAAGTGGGAGTAGGCAGGGTAAGATTAATCGCAGAAATTTGAGCAGAGACAGGGAAATTTCATTAACTATGAGAGCACTTGTTAGAGCTAAATGGTCAGGGAGCGAGGGGAGGTGGGAGGAGGGTGAGAAAAGGTGGATCTTTAAAGTGGCAGAAAGAGCAGGACAGAGGTTCTTGCTTATGCAACTTGTGACTTCCTCCAAAAACAGCACAGATGCCCTATTTAATTCTTCCTTTCTTTGTCTTTCCTTTAGATTGGAGTCTGAGATGTTTGCAGAAAAAAAGAGGTAAAGACATAGCAGCTACGGGAAGCGGTGATGGCAGAAGGGGCCCTGCAGCAGGAAGGATACAGATCCGAGCAGAGGGCCAGGAGTCAGAGTCAGAGTGAGTGAGGAGAGACCAAACTACTGCAAAAAGACAGAATTAGAGCAAAACGATCAGAGATGCAGAGGTGAGGAACATCTGGCTGGCAACCTTGGTGATCAGACCACACATCCTCACCGTGTCCCTCTTGCCAGGCTGAGTGTCTGTCTGCTGCCCTCTGCACCCGCACTATCTTTACACACTTCCTCCCTACATCACTTTCTCTACAGGAACACACACTGTACACGCTTGCACAAGCACACACACGCACAAACACACTGTCTCTGTGTCTCTCAGGAGGACGGGCATTACAGCTCAGGGCGAAGAGGTGCAGATAAGGGAACAGGAGTGTGACGTGAGTGGAGGCCCATAACCAAAGATAACAGTCTTACTTTGTGTGTGTGTGTGTGTGTGTGTGTGTGTGTGTGTGTGTGCTAATGTGAGGTCTGTGGTCGTCAGGGTGTAAGTGGGAATGATGAGGGTTACCCCGTTATCAGCTCTGTCTGTGTCAGCACCTCCATCTGCCGTCGGCCCTCCTGCCAGTGTGTGTCTTTGTGTGTGTGTGTGTGTGTGTGTGTGCGTGTATGTGTGTGTCACTACAGGGCGATAGTTGTCTGGTGAGCAGGAAGTGCAGTCTGGGTCAGACTGGTGACACATGCAGTGCAGCCTTTTAGTGTCTTGTCTCAGTGTGTGTGTGTGTGTGTGTGTGTGTGTGTGTGTGTGTGTGTGTGTGTGTGTGTGTGTGCGTGTGCGTGTGTGTTTGCAATCACTGGCCTTTTTTTTTCCAAATAGAAGGAATTACATTTTTAATAAAGAAAAAAATATCCCCAATTCAATCATAAATACCTCCCACCCCTTTTTGTTAGCTATCAAACACGCCACTTTTTGGATTTACTTACCGTGAAATCTGCACAGTCACCAAAGTTTTTTGAGACACTTAAAACATTAGACTCATTTTTTCTTAAATTTAACAGCAGCATTATCTAATTTTTTGAAACAAAAAGGTGCCAAAAGACATGAAAAAACAGGTGGATTCATCAGCAGAGGAGTTGAGAGTGAGTTTTAGGATGAAGCCTTGATGCACAGATTTAGTCCTCTGCTGCCAACTAGTGGTGAAAATAATGAACTGCAGAAACACTGAATTTAAGGAGGGAGCCTCTTCTCCCCTTTGTCACCTATCATACAAAGCAGGTTTATGATGCTGTAGCTGCTGTTTGATGAACTTGTATGAATGTAAAATTGAATTTATGAGAATGTCACTTGTGCTAAAACGGCTTTTATTCTCTGTTAAGTTTTTGCAAAGCACTACATTTAAGCCAAGGGACTTATTGAGGATTTAAAGAGGGCAGCGCAGCGACTATTTCCTCTAAATTCATAAAAGCCTCTGAATATTCTCTGCTTTATTCAAAACAAGTGAAGCTTATATTTTACCAGAGTAATATTAAGACAGCTAAAGCTATTTCTTTGCTTGCAATAACACCAAACTCATCCCAGTCTGCAGTCTTTTGGATTTGCTTCACATGATTTTTCAAATAAAGCAAATATTTTCTTTTCTCTCTGTGGGAGAGTTCAACTAGAGCTCTCTGATAACATATGGTGCTCATTTTTTAAAATGTCACTCTGGCACTTATCCCTCTAATTGTAGCGTAATGGCTTGGCGTTCACTGCTAAAACATATTGTATTCATATTAGAGATATCTCTCCGACTATAGGACATCATAAGCATAATCCAGCTTGTTTTTATGCACTGCAATAAAACTACAAACTTAGCAACCATAGTTTTTGTTTTATCTGAGGCTGCTCGTCTTACACATACACTTCAAAACACCTCAGATGCTACACAAAAAGTAGACCTGAATGTATGTATGTGATGCAGAGGCATGATTCATGTGGACAAATTGTGAAATAACTCATAGTAGATGGGTCATTATGATTACACAGAGTGCTCCCTGCTGGCCATTATCATTCAAGTGCATCTTTACACTGAAGGACACAGCAAACCCTGTTTGGCTCTGACACTGGGCTATAATGTGTGTGTATGTGCGTGTGTGTATATGTGGGGTAGATGGAGCTTGGATGGAGACAAAGCTTCTTTTTTAAAGGAAAAAAAGAAACATGGCACAGGTGCACTTATTATAGCAAAGTGAGTTTTTAAGGACACAAGGATCAACAGTGCATAAACACTGGAGTAACTCAGTCCACCTGAGTGTATGTGTGTGTGTGTGTGTGTGTGTGTGTGTGTGTTTAACCATGAAAGCTGCAGAAGTCTATTTCATCATAAGTTGCAGTGGACAGTAAAAGATGCAAATAGGCTCGATAAAGTATCTGTTATTTTTAAAATCTAATATGGAAGATTCAGTGTGCAGCCTCTCAATAAAACGCTGCAGTAAATGGCTGCTGGATTTATCTGTAACCATAACCTGACCATAAGGTTAAGTGTTCCTAATAGTTATAAATGAGAGGCGGACCGTTACTTTTGTTTATTGGCGTGCTTTCTTTTAAGGTCCCATCCCCGATTCCAGTAATATAACATGTCGCTCTCACCGCGCTGCAGAATGAGATTACTCTCTGACATGGGCCTCGCATCATCCTCAGACGAGCCCGCTCCGTGAACTCTTCACCGGGGCACGGCACGGCACGGCAAGGCACGGCGGCGAGACGACGCACGGAGGCGGAATATCCAAGCAGGAAGGACGGGAGGAAGGCAGGACAAGAGGGAGGAACATGCTGCGCGCTCCCTGAAGCTCCATGCAACTTCGACTCCTGCAAGAATTAGTCATTCAAGTGTGCCATCTAGCGACAGAAAAACAAAACAACACCGTCAGAGGTGGGTATACTGCAGGCCTTGGAAGAATACCTCCAAATCTTTAGTTTGGGGTTCCCATTGACCACACAGGGCATATATTTTTCTCATTCTTGGTAGATCCTCATCAACTAGGCCATAACTAGAATGCATACTTAAAAGAGGTTCCTTTAAAATACAAGAAAAAATTTAGAAAGGTAGTGACACAGCATAAAATACGTCTTTTAAACATGAATAGGATTTTTTTTTTATTGTTTAAAATGTGTGGATGTTTTTGTATTCCTAATTCTTGTGTCATATGGATTCATGGTTCTGATTAGAGACGGACAGATTAGTTAATCAATTGGCATCATATCAGTATTGCTTCTCACAGGACCGATTTCACTATCATCTTGTCTATATGAGAAATGCATTTTCCCATACATTCTTAATCTAAAACAATCAAAGTTTAGTTTGTCATAAACTCTGTTATCATGTATCATAATGTAGTCTGATATTGTTATGTTCATGTTCATGTCTAGAAATCAACAGTATACCTAAATGAATTTGTCTTTCACAGTCCCTCATAACATGTTACTAGCTTAGATAAACATGTTAACATTAGTTTGTAGTGTGCATGCAACAATGTATTTGCACATGGTTTAGTGGTTCAAATTTTTTTTGGTCTACATTGATTAATTTTTTTTTTTTTGTTGAAGTTCATCAATTTTGTTTTTTATTAGCTGGTATATTTACATTCCTGTATTTTGTCAAATGCAAAAAAGAGACCAAAAGAGTGATATCTAAACTATATATTGGCAATATATATATATATATATATATATATCGGCTGACCTGCTCTCTCATTATTGGTACATTATTGGTATCACTCAGCTAATATAATAATTGTATTTTTATTACATTGCATATGTCATGACATTTAAAAGAGAAGACCTAAAGTAGCTACAGCATTAAACTGTGCAAAATACAATGTTAATGTTCCTTTTTGTAACTTTTTCAAATTGCACCTTCCCTGTACAGAAAAACAAAAACAAAAAATAGCTCTTGTAAAGCAATTGATTCTAGATGTGAGGCTGATATGGTGTTTTGTATCTTGCATCAATTCCACTAATTGTTACAAAGGTTTGTGTTTGAATTGTACTTTGAGTTATTGTGAATCCTTAAAGCTCCGAAGAGGAACTTTCTGTCTGTGTTGAATTTTGCGCCCCCATGTGGACTAAATGGCACTCCTTGTGTTGTTGTTGACTTTGTCTTGTCTTTATGAAAAGTAGTGTTGATTGACAAAAGAGTGTGAAATTTAGAGTAAGGCTATTTCTTTTTCTACATCTTTTTCTACCGACCCCCTCTCAGCAGTTTCATGCATTTAAGATAATAATACAGAAAAAAAATATTGTTGTTGCTGCCTCATTTACTTTTGCACATCATGAAAATATGTTGCAGTTTACTTCAGTCTAGTAAAAACCTCCTCTTGTTCACTTTAAAACTTCTATGAGGAGTTCTCATAGAGTACTAAAACATGTAACTCTTCTTTTTCGAACAGTCAAACATGTCACACATATCTTTGCGCGGGCCACTCTTGTGTCAAACACTTCACAAGAGTTTAGGATGACAACATTTAAGGTGGCTTAATCTCAGAAAGGTCTAAAATTTTGGTTTCAGAAGCAGACATGTAGCGTGTCATATGGGAATGCCTCTGAGCAAAAAAAATTACAACACTATCTGCTGAATCACTGTAAGCAGCTCTCAATAATAGCAGAAAAATGCTGACAATTGATTTAAAGGAATTACTAGTAGATAGATAGATAGATAGATAGATAGATAGATAGATAGATAGATAGATAGATAGATAGATATTCTCCTCTGCATGTATGCATACAATACAGTACATGCACAGGGATCAGAAGGAGCTGCAGCAGTAGAAGAAACACAGGGCCGTTTTATTGGCCTGGTTTTATTGCTCTCACTCAGGACTCATATCCTGGGTTTAACAGGGCTAAAGGCAAAAGGTTTTAAGTGTCTTAGATGTGTGCATATGCGTGTGTGTGTGTGTGTGTTATAGAGATCAGAGAGAGAGGGAGCAGTCTAAGTAGAAGTATTGCCTGTTACTGAGGGTTTCAAATGTGCGCCAAAGCCACATAAGGCAAGACTAAGGCGAGCATCTAATGGTGGTCAAGGAGTGCGTTTAGGGTTGACTTTATGGAATAAGAGAGGCATGGTGGTAGTTTATTTTACAGCAGTATAGTTCACCTTACATTGGGAGAAAGGACAGTAATCTCTGCTTTTACAATCTCTAAATAGATATAAAGCAAGGAGGGAAACAACCATCATCCTTAATGTAAGCTGTCACCCCCTCAGTCTCAGTCTGCACTGATAAATGCTTCACACAATCTTTTAGCCCATTTCAACGTCAAAATATTTACATATCTTGTTAAGAGTACAGTGGATTGTGTTTCCAAGATGGCCTGAGATGCATCTTTGCAACGGGTCATTTTACAGTTTATTTATAATGTTCGCAAACAGGGCCTCCTTCCTGTTATTTAATCCATCTGAGAATGCACGCAACCTCTCATTTCATAGTCGAGGAAAATCACTGCACTGTAATCTTTGATTACACTGTGCAGCCATGAAGGTTATGTTACTAAGGGCTGCTGCAGAGATTGTGCACTGAGAGTTAACCTGAGCTACAGCTTTAAAGCTTTTTTATGGTCATAAGTTATCTTTAATACTCTTTTTTAATGTTTGAAAACTCTTTATAGTTTAGAAATTTACATACAGGGTTTGAGTGGGTCAATCCTTTGGCTGTATTTTTTCCTGAGCATTGCTGCTTCCACAAGGTCAAAGTGCAAACAGGAAAATACCTTTGCACAAAGAAGGGTGGGGAAGGGAGGCGTGTAAATCATTACATGCAAAATCTTGCTTCAAGCTTTTAGACTATTATGATCAAACTCAACAGCAGAAACTCTCCAGTGTAGAGTATGTTTTCCCCTTTGTACAGAAAATATGAACATTTCCAAAGGCACATTACATCGTACATGCTGCATTTAGACCCATTCGTTGCGGTTTGAAGTAGAGTTTGAGTTTAAGGCAAATAAAGTCTTTGTAAACTGCAAATACAATCAGACATGCAAAATAAATGGTGACTGCTGTGATGTTTATAAGGACAGGTACTGAGTATTTTTTCATCATTATTTTTATCACATTAGAAATTTGGTTACATAATGTATTAAGTGTTTTTGGAAAGTCTTCTTTTCGACAGACAGCTTCAATTGTGCAGGAATTAAAAGCAAATGAAAAGCAAAACATTATAATGACAGTTGTGTTGTGTTCAAGTACAGCCATCTGCTATGAGAGTTTGACAGTCAGCATGGACATAACCAGGAGAGTAGAACTGAAGCAGCCATTACTGATTAAGTATTTATACAATTAAATAAACACTTTACCGTGTCCAAATGTGTGCTGTGATGAAATTAATAAAAAAAATGTTGAGTGGGTAATAATAACAGAAGGATAAATTAGTTGATCAATTGCTTTAAGTTTCTAATTGAAACTTGCACAATGGATTGGAAAATGAAAATATTGCACTTGTATTTCTGCTTTGTCGAGGTTAGGTGCCATACCGAACTCTGGCCTGTAGAGAGCAGTAGAGGACAAACAATGGCTGCCTTCAAACTCACTTCATTTTGATAGAGCAGCGGTGTGGCGTTAGCAGGTTCCTGTTAGGCATTAATCTCGGTTTAATGCCACATTCGGTCACTTAGACCTTAATATCGTGAGCTATGGATAATATTTAAGAACAGAAAAGTTAATCAGTATTGTATATTTTTACTGGAGTTAGTTAAAACCTTTATTCTGTCTTGTTCATGAAGCTAGTTGGGGTTTCCCATATCAACATTAGCTCATGTTTCATCTTAAGACGCCATGAAAAGTTGCTCAGCTAAACCAAAGCTAATCCTGTTTTTAAAGTGTGTGTTTAAGTGTTTACTCTGGGTTAATGTTCCTCGTTGGTTAATGATAAAATTACACAGGCATGTTGTGTATCAATTTATCTCTGCCTCGCTTTGTGTTACAAATTGATTCCATCTAATTCTATTACAAGCCGCTAAACCTGCATCCGCGTGATCATCTACATATAAAACTATAATTGACAATCTTCTCGGTTGCCGTCATATTAGGGCGGGCTAATGCAACGTGGAGGCAGCCGGTAATTAATATGAACTGTTTACGGCGTCGGCGAGGCCACGTTGGTTAATGGTGTTGTTTATTGTGTTGCAGGAGCCGCGCGCTTCCGGTGCATCAATCCTCGTGTCAGTGCCCGGGCCCCGGTGTCGCCGAGGAGTGATGGCCGCGCGGTGATTATAACGGAATAAAAGGACGTAATGAAGTGCTTTCCGCCCCGTTATTCTCGCGTGCCCGGCTGCTGTCATCCACATCATCTACCTCCATGCTGCCTTCACGCTCCACTCCAGCTCCCTCTCTCCATCCCGTCATCCCAACACAGTTATGTTTGTTTTTTCCCTCCTAAGTTCATACAAAGTTAAATCGTCTGGGGTTCATAACTCGACTGTAGCTGCATGCACACCAGTAGGCCACTGTATGTGCTCTCTTTATGATACCTGCATCAATTCCCTGCCAAAGCTAAGTATAAGCATGTCTGTTGTTCTCCAATTTGGTGTGTATGCACACGGTTGTGTGGAGCCTCTGTGGTTCTACATGAGAGAGACACAGAGAGAGAGACTAATGGAACAGGTTGGTGGTGATTAATTGGAGAAATAGAGAGTTGATTGTAGTAATTAAACAAAACAAGGTAAAGCAAACGACTGGGCTGCCATCTGGGCCCGCAGGCAGAGAGCACATGCATTTACCCACTGCCA